AATTTTAAAAGAAATGCATCTCACCACAATGTGGAAGACTGTGACCAGGTGCATTGGTACACTTTGCTCAGGCATTGTTGTTGGATGGTTTCAAGGCCCGGCTCTTCCTTCAGCTAGTTCTCCTACTAAACTTGGACTGAACAGCCTTCAAAGAGAGGATTCCTTCAAAATAGAGACAGGATTGTAAAAGGGGACACCTAGCTCCTCTAAATACTACAGCCTGGAAGATTTTTGAGGACAGAATGAAAGACAGAGAAGCTAATGGTAGAAAGGGGGCTGGTTGTTGGTTGTCACAATTTCTCCATGCTGTAGAGCAGGGATAGGGAATGTGTGTGATCCCCCCTGGATTGGCTATGCTGGCTAAGATTTGAAGGAGTGGCACTCCAGCAACACTCCCTATTCCCCACCTTACTGAAAAGGTCTATAGCCACATTAAATCATACAGGAGGCAGGTTAACTGCAGCAGAAAAACCTGCCCTAATATCAATGTCCTGCTTCATCCCCTCCTTTATTATCTGAATAGCCTTATATATCAGAGTGTTGGTCTTGATTAGGCTTGGAGTCTTGAAGAAAACGCTCAGCTTTCAACAAGTGACATTTTGCTGGACCAAGCAAGACACCAGTTCCCTAGTTAAATGCTGCAGCCCTTCTGTTCAGGATTCATTCTCTCTGGTGTTAGTGGTGGTACCACCATACCAGTTATTTCATTTTGTCAAACCCTTATTACAGCCTGACAACATGAAATAATGTGGGTTTTTTGGGTTTGACCAAGACTTTTCAAATTATGTTCAAGAAAAATCAAAGATTCTTGTGTGATTTTGATTTTCCTTCCAGTGTTTGCATTCTAAGAGTACTTTCTTCTTTGTCTTCAGTTGTGTATCTCAGTGTATCTTGGAATGGCAGAGATAGTGTGATTACTTCAGGGAGAAAGATTTATAAGAAACAGGACCCTGCTGGGATAAGCCTTGGCAACAAAAAGACAGAGAACGGCTTAGGGATTTAAACAAATGAAGAGAGAGAAGCAGCTAAGAGGTCAGTGTGACGAAGTCTTGCTCATCCTGAGTTGCTATCAGGGGACCTGCTTAAGCTGCCCAGCATAAACCATGAATGTAAGAGTATGTTGTAAGCACAGCATTGCTAAGCACCTAAAAGAGTCAGGGCCCGGGTCCATAGGGCAAGCCTCTGGATAACATTTACACATGCTAATTATATCTATATTAGCAAAGTTAGAAACAGTTACTAGGGTTGATTTAAATTTCATTTAGGACAAGCCAGTCAATTAATTCCCCACTAAAATTACACTGAATGAAACAAATACTACACAATATGGTCCAATGTGGCAGCTCCTGACCCTCCAGGCTAGGAGAATCATGCATCTCCTACTGAGGAGAGAAGAAGCATGGGGGCAAAGATTGGGTCTGCATTCCTTCCACCTTTCAAAACATTTAGACTGTAGGTTTTGGCTCTGTCAGTGTTTTGCCCCTGCTTGCAAGGAAAGGCTGAGCTATACTGGAATCCTGACAGAGCCTCCTGGAATGTCCACCCAATGTCAGATCCAAGATCAGCCCTTCATCCTTGGAGCTGCAGCTCATACAGAGGGAATTGTGGTGGCTGTGAGAGTAGAAGGAGGGGGTGCTCTGGGGTTGGAGTTCAAGCTCTGACCTTTCCTGTATCCAGCCAGACAGCATCTGGCAGGCACAGGATTGTGTCCTTAATTATTTTGATAATTCCTAAATAGGCTATTCTTCTTCAGTTACAACTAAATTGCAATGGCTATGAATGGGTGTGCAAAACGTACAAAAGAGGATGCTTGGTAGATTTTTTTTCGTAAGTCTTTCATGCACTCATGTGTACAATGTGCAACTTTTGCATGCACAAAAGGGAGTTTCAAATGGTTGATACAACACTTATCCAAAATCAAGCCAAGGTCAAATCAGGAAGTTCCACCCAGTTTCTCAATTCTCACCCAGCTCCTGCTCCAAAACCTAATCAGTTTGCTTTCAATCAATTACTTCCCTTCTTTGGTCATCATCACTCACCCCCATAAATTAAATTCAAAATAAAAGTTCAAAATGTCGAATGTGTTTTGAGAGGACTGTTGGCCAAAGAGTGGCTGCAGGTAAACAGTAGAGTACATTATTTGCATATGGAAAGGTACAGGCCAAGTCCCTCTCTGGCACCTCTAGGTAAGGCTAAAACCTTGAAGAGACCATGCCAGTGTTGATAACACCGGGCTAGGTGGGCCGATAGTTACTCACTAATCATAAGATAGCTTCTTATGTTCTTACTGGGGTAGAAAAGGTAGAGTAAGGAAGAAGGTTTAGAAGGAGAGTAGACTTGGAAGGAAGGGAGGAAGGAATGGGTTTGAAATGGGTTTCTTTGGGAGAGGAAGGGTGGAGAAAGGACTGGGCAGCAGGAAGGAGGCAGAGAAAGGTATAGCGGAACTAGCTGCTCTGCAATTTCTGATGTTGCCTTACTGTGGGATGGATTCTTGTGACTTTTCCCTCAAGCCCCAGCAGGCCCTTGCAGAGAAAATGGCTTGTACGAAAGCAAATTAAACCTGTGGGGGCATTTCAACCTAAGTTTACTCCTGTTATTCCACGTTGCTAAGGGAACTGCCATGTGTTCAGGTGTGCACTGGAACAGTCACAGTGGACTTCTCAAGCTGAGTGAAGTGAATATGCTCCATGTAAAGAAAGATACCCAATTTCCCCTGGAATATGTCTGTATGCATGATTAGGCTGACCATGCACAAGTTGGTACCGGATGAACTTTCATATTGCTTGCTGTCTGAAAGTCAACTGGAGAACACACATTATAAATGTTCTTTTTATAGTTTAATTTTGTTTAAAAGCTGAGAAATAAGATTTCCTGGAGCAGCAGATCCAAAACTAACTGCTGCTTGCTGCACCTGCAATAGCAAAGGAGAACTGATGTTGTGACAGCTTGGCAGCCTGCTATCAAAGTCATAGGAAGAATAATTTTAAATGGAAACCTCTACAACACTGAATGAAAGCACTCTCTTCTCATTCAGTTTACTGTTCACCTTGAGAGTTCCCATTTAGCCAAATACGTCTGTGCTTCTCAAGAGGAATCCTGCTCCTCTGTGAAGTTATCCAGGTGCGGTTTTGTTTTGTTTTGTTTTGTTTTTTTAAATGCTTGAAGTAAAGGAAGACGCAATAGCTGTATGCTTTAGTTTGCTTTTCCCTTGAATACAATCCACCATTTGTGTTTGCCTTAAAACATAGTAATTTTAAATCAAGAGCAATGAAGGTGCATAGAAAGCAGAACATGACCTTCCACTCAACAACGGGGGTTGTACATAATGCAAATCCATGGTATGCATTTGATGAAGTCTGGGTTGCCATACTAACAAACTATGGTTTTTTAACCACAAAAAGAAAGGGGAAAGGGGACAGGGACAGGGATTCATGGTTTGTTGTGCTGGGATCTCTGGGTTGTTGTACATGAGACTCAGACTCATGGATTATTTCTCCAGGTTACAGAAGTGGCAGGCAAGACAGGTAACCATGGTTTGTTCAAGAATCTGCCAGACAGGTTCTGCGCAGGGAATAATCCATGGGTAATCATGGGTTAAATCATGCATGGGTAAACATTATTAAATGAGATTCTTTTAAAAAAAGAGGGTAAGAATGGTAAAAAAGATGGGGGACCTCCAAACTATCAGTGCTGAAGGAAAGAGGGGCTGAGTGAAGGGCATTGGCCTCTGGCGAGGCCCAGATGGTCAAATTTGGTCCCCTGGCCTGAGGTTATTATACAATACCTGTGCTATCTTTGTTTTGTGGGATTCAGGAGTTTTTCATCAGATTTGAGCTGCAGTTGCCAGACTACTACATTTGAGAAGGACAATAAGTCGGTGGCAGAGCACATGCCACTAGTGAAAGTCCCAGGTTCAGTTCCTGGCCTCCCCAGTAGTATAGGAGTATGTAGTGGTGGATAATGTGATATCCTGATGAACTAATGCCATCCTTAGTGTGCAATATTGAGCTACATGGACAAGGAGTCTCGAGCTGGTAAGGCAGCTTTCCATGAGAATATTTTCAGAGGAGAACATTTTATTCCCAGGCAAGTGTACAATTATTACTATTGTGCAAGTATTTCTGTTCTATACGAGTTGCAGGGAAACATTGGTCGGAGAATGTTGTTGCATTCATGTCCTGCTTGTGACCTTCCTGTGGGCAGATGTTTGGCCAACCATGGAACTGAATGCTGGACTTGATGGAGCCTTGGCTCTTTGTCTGTTCTTAGGAGATATATCTAGAATAAGGATGGGGAATGCCTGGTGCAAAAGAGTTCCCCCTCTGGCTTGCCAGTTTCCTCCTGAGGCCATGCCCTTCTGCTTGCATAGAGTGGCTCTAATCTGCAGTTGACCAGATATGAACTTTCTCCTGCTGAGCAGTACAGAAGGGGTCTGTGTCACTGTGCAGCAGGGGGAACCTTATTTCTGATCAGCTTCTTATCGGAAATAGGAGTTTTTCCATCCAGGAGAGAGGGGTAAGGCCTGGAGAGCAAGCTGATGAGTTATTCAGCCCAGCTTGGTTATGAAGCTTGTCCTGCAAAGTCTTACCCTGCTTACTTGAGCACAGTCAAGCTTCTCATGCATTCTTTGAAGCGGGCAAGCAGGAGCTTGCTCTTTGGATGCTGTTTGAAAGTGCTGCTAAATGAGCACTTTAGCAGCACTTAGCAGCAGAACACTAACTGGTCCTGCTTACTTGTGAGTAGACATGAGTAGCTCACCCTTGAGGAAGCTTAAACTAGTTTTGGTCACATTTTGTCCACTCTGATTTTGGCCCTGTCCATCAAAGGAATGCCTCTCTTTGAATCTTTCCCTAATTGGAATCTGTACCTTGGAATGAAAATCCCACCACCCTAGTGTAGAATGTAGTTGTGTGCCATTAACACGTATTAAATAATGTATAGTGATCAATAACACAATATACTGCCAGTCACACAAGCAGTCAAGCTTTTATACCACATACCCCACAAGGCTGTGGTTGCGTTTCTCCACATGGTGTCATTGCTCCTTCTTGGTCTTTGGCTGAGATTGTCATAAGTACGTATCCAACACTCCGGTGATATCCCTGCAATAAGATATACTCTTACCCAATGTGCCCACACAATTAAGGGCACTTAAATTCTCAGAAGACAACAGTTAAACAGCCCTTGGTGAAAGAGAAGTTACTCTGAAGCCTCCGTGTGACAAGATTGTCCAGTTGCTTTTTTGTGAGTTGCAATTTCTCTTGCAAGAATTTGGGAGGAACAACAAGGAGGAAATGGGAACAGTAGAAGACGCGTGATCAGTGACCTATCCAAAAGAGGGGTTGCCATAGCAGAGGGGGCTGAGACTTCGGTTAGCCTCTGCCAAGACAATCCTGTGGGAAGCATGGGTGGGGCAGATTGGTGCTCTTAATCCTGGAGCGAGCATTCATGTGTGCCCCATGCGGACCTGGGGACCTGTTCTTATCTCATGTTGTTTCATTCCACAGTCAAATGCCTGCCGGCCTCTTGGTTTCAGCAGACTCAAGAAATAAAAAGGGCACACTTTTATGCTGCTTTGATGTGGTGGGGAGAGAGAGAGACAGACAGACAGAGTTAATCTGTTCATACATCCTAACTGGTTTGCCACTTGTTTCTAATAGAATGCCAAAAAAGGAAAATTGCTTTTGGGCAAGACAGATATCTTAAAGTAACGCTGATCTAACGAAAGTTAGAAGCTGGAGTAATATGCAAGAGGAAGTGGGTTAGGGGCCGAAACTATGTATGAGGCTACAGTTGCCTTATAATCACTGAATCAGCAAATGGAGTCTGATCATGCAACCAAAAGGAAATAACATTTACTTAGGCTCAGTCCTGAACAGCCTCTTCTCAGCTTTTGCACATGAGAATGGGTTTTCCCCAGGAGCTTTTGCGCTCTCCGTCAGAAAAGCCTAGCTTCACAGGTTTTAATGACACTGAGGCTCAACAGTGGTGACCTGGAGGGGGTGTAAATGCAGCCCCAATCACAAGAACTATTTTCATCCCCCACCACCCCCTTGAAGAATACCTGTGAAACGCATTGACCACAAACCAAGGAGGACTTAACAGTCATAAGCCTGCTTAATTTGGGGCTGGATTTTGACCATTTTCTACACATGCTGATTCCCTGTGCATTTTATATTTAAACATAAGTGAGCAGTGATCTTGTTTTTTGTTCACAGTATGTGGTGTTGGGAAAGTTCCTTGGAGAGGCAGGGGAGACAACACTTGTGGATTTGTGGGCTTGGGTGGGCAGGAATCTAAGAAAAATACTACATCACTGCAAAGAACAGATGACTATTTAATGTGAGCCCCATTGATTCCCTTGGGGCTTAGTCCCAGGGATGTGAGCACAGGATTGCCATTAGCACCATCCCATATACAATAAACTGAGAGTAAGTCCGAGGAAGCTGGCTGGGACAGGAAGGCACTGCTAGTATCTCCCATGCAACTTAATTCAGCCTAGCCAGGCTGTCCCTGAACTCCAACAGACCCGATTGCATGACCACCAGATATGGAGCTGTTGTTTTACTCTGTCTGCCTGAACAGTAGGAATGGGTGAGAATTTTTTTCAGTTCAATTATGATAAGAACATGCCAAAATCCACAAAGTTCTCCATGAATGAGTTGAACGAGGCAGGTGGAATGGACGGATTCATCCATCCAGGCAAAGAGCTTTGAGCACTTAGCTTTTAAAGGTGTATCTTTGAGTCCCTGTGTATTTAACATGTTAGGGCACAATGCTGTGACAATGCCCATAAGCTCTCAGTCTAGAGGCTTATGGTCATCCAACGCAGTGTAGCAATTCTGACTGAGGCATGCTTCATCTCTCAGTCCTCCCATCCTGCATTGTTCACTAGGCGGACTTTTTGTCCTTCTGATTGGAGCATCTCAGAGGGAGAAGGAAAGGAGCTGGAGCAGCTGCAAGACACCTCATGATTGTGCTCGGGGGTGGGGGGAGAGAGCTGCAATCGCACTCGAGGGGCGGGGGAGATGGCCGCGATCACGCCTGTGTTCCCTACCTGAGCACACCCGTGATTGTGCCTGTCTGTGGTTGCAATCGCAGTCACACTTGTGCAGAAAACATGGGCGTGATCACGGTTGTGGGGGGGGGGGGGGCAGGGGGAGATGGCTGTAATCTTTGTTGTTGTTTGTCACTTTGCTTCAAATTTTTGTGATTATTAAAAAATAGTTACAGAACGGATTAGCCTTATTTACATTGAACCTTATTGGGAAATTTGACTTGGTTCATGACCAATTTGGGTTGTGACCAGGAGTCATGGAACAGATTAAGTTTGTGAGCCAAGGTACCACTGTACTTGTATAATAACAGGTATGATTAATATAGAATTCCAATGAAAATGATTTCTTCAATAAGTGGACTGTGGAACAGAAGACACTAAACCATCTGCGAAACACAGATGGAAGTGTTTTAACAAGATCCTTATCTTCCTAGTCACTGGTAAGGCCATAAATTATTGACGTCCATAGGTCAATTTCTCCAAATGATCAGACAAATTCATTTTTATTATTATTTATACAGTACACACAATCGGGATCTAGATTTCCTCCCAAAATTTCAAAGAAATCAGTTCTAGGGTGAGATGAACTGGAATGCTGGCGGATATGCATCACCTTTGAAATGCCATGCACTCTGCTCAGTTCTTCTGAAATAATTAATCATTTAACTGAGCCCGCCACTAGCCCTTCATAGGGTATTGCACAATCCTTTTCATCTCGTGTAAGCATTCTTCTGTCTCCATGTGCTGAATAGATCATCACTCATTTGTGTTAGGTCTCATTGCCAGTAATGGATAGATAACTTTCCCTGGTAGTGTGGCAACATTTTATGACAGACATGACCACACTGCCCCCTCTGTCCTTCCATGGTGCAAAACTACAAGACTATTGAAAGCTAAATTAGGGAACTAGGGTTAATGATGAATCCTTGAGCCATGCTGTGCAGGATCTCGTGCTCCACCCAGTACAAAACACTAGGTAGGGGCCCCATTAAGCTGGTCTCTTTGTTACTGTGAACGTGGGAGCCCCCACATCAGACCTGCTCTCTGAAACGGCAGTTTTACATGGCTGCATTCCAAAATCCTCCCACCACCACCATTGTCTTCCCCTCTCTTTAAGGATAAAATGACTAGTG